AAATACTGTGATTACTTGACTTTCAGCGAACATATATTTTTTTATCAAAATTATTATCATATATAGGTATTATATAAGATAATATTAATTTTTATTCAACTATTTTATTAGGAAACTTAAATGTCCTCAACTTTCAACATATCCATGAATGCATATTTAATTAGTATTTTAAGACTATTAATTTTTATTCGATTAATTTAATATTTTATAACAGTTTATTACCAATTGTTTTATTTTATTATTGTTTCACACAGTTGTTGGTAATAATGTTATAAAAAAACTACTAACCGAAAAGGGCCGCCCCTAGTACTTATATAGGAAGTTTGAGCTATAATTAAAAAAATTCATATTTAGGTTTTTATACTCAATTTTACGGTGTSTATTAAGACATTTGGCGTTAAAATAATATTATAATAATAGTTAAAATAATTTTTAACTTGAAGAATATTTCGTACGTCAAACCTAAATAATAATGACAAGAATGACCGTTGTTGTCGATTCATTTTTAATTTGTAAAATTATAATACATTTTTTGGACATATTATGTTTTATACMATTYTTATACACACCTCTCTTGAAGTTTCCTATTTGTTTCTTTTAGGACTTCGACATCTACCATTAAATTGTTGAACGTGACTTCATACTCTTTGATTTGTTGGGCAAGCATTGTCACTTTCTTTGTGCATACATTTGGTTCATTTTCACACTTTTGACTGATAGATGTATATTTCTTATGTAAAGTTTCATACTCTCTTGTTATCTGTTGGGTTTTATTAACCATGATCTGTTTTTCCTAGAATGTATGCAGAACTTAAAGTCAATATGTTAAATCAAGAACATTACAAATGCRAGGACCACGAAAATTGTTTCAGCATTGACAAATTTGACTCTATTCAATCATTGAAATCATTGAATTTCAATGTATAGACTTTCTTAATCTAATTTAATAGACATTTTTTGTGTATGAAGAATCTATTTGGTACGTACTGTATGTAGAACTTCAATTTTGGCATTAGCTTCTCGTAATTTATCTTTATACATGGTTTTCACCTTCTCCACTTCGAAACTAACTTTTGTACCCGCTTCTTGTATTATATTTGTGAGCTCATTTTCTAATTTGACAATTTTTTCTGGAATTCAAGTGATTAAGAAATTATTTATAAAGATACATGCATTTTAAATTTGACTAATTATAATAACCATTTGATTTTTCTAWGTCAGTCACGAGTTCATCTTTTTCCGAATAGGTTTTTTCAACCATTTCTAACGCTTCTTTAACTTTATATCGGGCGACTTCCACCTCCGTTTGATATTTATAAACAACTTCGTGACATGATTCTAATGCGACTTCTAATTCCTTACGAACTAATAATAGTAATTACAACATTAATTATGTTAATTCATATGAATTGTTATAGATGTAAATATATTTTAATTGAAATTATCATATAGGTATTTGTTTTTTGTAATTTTTACAGTCATKYTCAGAAAGTCAGGAAGCTTATAGATCTATGTGWAATTAATATTATTTTCTTATAATATTATATATGACGAGTATATATAAATACTTAGAAGTTATAAGTAAAATTAATATTAACACTAATGTCATGGRAAAATGTAATAAAATGGTTTTATTTAAAGTTATAGAGTACTTAATATACTTTACCACGATTTGATTTATCTATTGCTTGGTGAAGACGAGAGTTTTCATTTTCAATCATTTTAATTCTTGATATTTCTATTTGATAATCTAAAATAATAATATCGAAATATTAAGCATAATTATAATAATATTTTATRATATAAATTATAATTAATTTTTGCTTACGCTTAAGGAAACTACTTAGAAAATAATATAACAACCTATTCTAAATACCAGTTGTGTATTAATACCTTAATAAATCCATTTTTTTATTGAGAGGGAAGAAGGAGGATGTAATTATTACATGAAAATATTAATTGARAATAGGTGGTAAAATTATAYAATTACTGAAATACTATTATTCAAAWGGATGAATCTTTAATGCGTGGTAAAATAAAGTGCAACAGAGGACGGTTCAGGACGTAATTAAGTGGGATGAGGGGGATGGATCCACCCAAAACTTTTATTTTACTACCAACATTTTATATTTGGTGGGGTAGGTAAGTAGATTACTAAAAGTGGTTTACGGATTTTTTTTCTAAAAACATATAATCCCCCTCCAAACCAAATTCCTAATTACGTCACTAAGGACGATTATTAGGGACTGATACTGCTACTGAAAATGTAGATGTAAACGAGGTGAGCGAAGAAGAGGTACCGGATTTTAATAATCAAAATTATGGAAAAAAACTTACTGGTCCACGGGGGTGTTTGGAATGTGCCAAAAGACGAAAATGGTGTTGTCGATACATWGTTGTAGAAAAAAGAGACAGACAGACATTGCACGGAAAATTTCAAAATGAAATTGAAAGTGGTACAGAAATACACTCAGACGAGTGGCTGATATATAAGAATATGAGGCATTAGAAACTAAAGGGTGTATGCATAAAACCGTAAACCATTCTCAGTTTTTTATAAATCCAGTGGWGCGCGTACATAACGCACAGAAAGTTTATAGGGTGGTTTAAAGCTTCGAATTGTAAAAAAAATAGGATGGTACATCAACATAACCATCATTGCTGTCCTCGTATTTAGCGGTACAATGGTGGTGTCTAAAAAACAATGTAGATGTTTGAATGTTTTTTAATAGACGTAAAACTGTATTGTAGGTACTATAATGTAATTAATAAACATTGATGATAGTATTTTTTTGATTTTTATACATATATTGACTTATTATAATATAATAATAATAATTTTTTTTT